ATTGTCACCGGTGATGAAAAGTGGATTCTCTATGCCAAAAACAATGGCTCAGTCCTAGACAAAAACCACTTCCGACCCCAAAACCTGGACTCCATCCGCAGAAAGTGATGATTTGCATTTGGTGGGACATCAAAGGAATAATTCATTTCGAACTCCTCAATCGACAGCAAACTGTCAATGCAGAGATCTATAGTCAGCAACTGGAACGTCTAAATCAAGCCCTTCATCAAAAACGCCTTTCACTAGTCAAGCAGAAAGGTGTTCTTCTTCTCCACGACAATGTACGTCCACATGTGGAACGTTTGACGCAACACAATATTATGGAATTGGGTTGGGAATGTGATGGATTTATTATTAAGAAGAGCAAATTAGTATTTTCTGCAAAACAAAATGTGAAAATGTGTTTCAATTCTTATATTGTTTAAATATTATTGATGAAATCTGTATTGTTTATAATGTAACGAATTTGTTATTATACATTTATTTTAATATCGATGTTTCTTTAGATTAAATTTATATTTAGAAATATTCATAACGTATACTGTTAAATATGTATTGCAAAACTCCTGCCCATTCTCTAAAGTTGTAGAAGATTCTCGAGTGTAAGAATCAACAATATATGTGTCTACGTAAACTCTAGTGTTAGTGTGAGTATTGTTACGTAAAAGTGAAATTTCGAGAAACTCTCCTCACGCCTATAGTATCTGTTATTAGTTTGCTATAATCAGTGTGCTATAAACTTCGGAAGTTATAACTGTGATTGTTATAACGCTTATCAATCGGAAAACTTCAGATATTTGACCAGGGGCATTTACAAAGTTCGAACATTACAAATCATTTAACTTCTGTGGATTCTCATCGGACATTAGTATTTTTAAGAAAACATCATATAAATTCATCGTGGAAGACTCGGCGTGTGGAGCTAGTGAATAAAGAATGATAAGGCTAGCTAGCTGCCCGTCAAACGAATTGTACCTACATCAACTCGTAATCTCATTGTGAACCCTCGATAAGATATAAAGGAAGTTCCAGACTAGAAAGAAGACTTTATATTACTTGTAAGTTTGTAAAAATTGTGTATATAAATCATTGTGTGTAATAACTATTTGAAATAACTGTTATTGTAAATTGTATTATTGTTTGTATTTTGAAATATATTTGTATTAAAAAAGAAAACCGTGTGTATCAATCTTGTTGGCAAATATCATAAATTGGAGATATATCGGCATAAGTTTAACTACTAAATTTAAATTATCATTTAGCTCGGGTTTCGGACTATTCGAAATTGTAATACGTGACAGGAAGTTCTCCCCCACCCACCATATTCTCCAGATGTGGCACCATCTGATTACCATTTTTTTCGTTCGCTGCAACACCATCATAATGGGAAGACGTATGCAAATGTGGAAGGTGTTAAAGAGGACATCAACATGTTTTTTGCTTCAAAGCCAAGTGATTTGTTTAATCAGGGCATTAACAACCTGATTGTAAGATGGAAGAGCATCATCGATAAAAGTGGAGACTATTTCATTTACTTAATGTTTTGAAATATAAGTTGTTCGGGTTTTTTCATCTAAAAAAAGCGACATTAATTTCTTGACGACCTAATAGATCATTTAAACTCAAGTGACTTATTATCTAAACATTTGTACTTTTAGTGCAAATCGTCTGATATATATCAACACTGGTTTTAGTTGTTATTGTAACATTGTTTCGTATCAATTAATTTATATTTTTTGAGTCTGTGGAAATTATAACATGATATAATTAAACTGAACTTTTGGCCAAATGTTGTAAAGTACAAGAACTGTACATTATTGTTTATAAACTTAATATAATCTTATATATATATATATATAGTAGTAGTTGGATAGGACTAATTAATTTGTAT